GCTGGGTGAGAGCCACTGTCCTCTGACTGATGGCTGTGAGTTCTCCCTCTCCACTCAAGAGACAAGTAGGCATATTTGTGGGTATATGTATGTAGTTCAGGCAGTACCCAGAAGCAACACAGAAGTTCCAGAAAATTTTCCTTTTTCCCTTTGACAACCTCCCTGTCCTACTCCCCCTTCTTTATCCTCCTTTTATGCCTGGTACAAGGTATGGCATGTGCTCTGGGAGATGCACAAGGCCAGGCATGTGCTGTGGATGCTTGTATTGTGCAATGATGAGTGCTCTCTTTTCCCATCCCCTTCTGTGCTGCTGAGCAGAGTGCTGGTAGTCATGTCCTTGATAAGAATGGGCTGCTTGCTAAGACTCATAGCCCAGTGTCCTGAAACCACTGATAAAACTTTTTTTTCCCTGCTGATACCAACCTTCAGCCTTGGTAGGCTTGCTGAAGATCTGGGAAGCACTAGACAATAACACTTGTGAGTGAAGGGTGTTGTAGCGGAAAGGCAGTCTTTTGGGTGATCAGAAGATGATGTGTCTATAGGTGTATCCTGTAGGGTGTGTAGGGTGAAATGAACTCCATACACCCTGCTTTTTTGATTTCTAACAGAGTCTAACCACAGAAAAATTCACACTGTCAACCCCTAACAATGGCCTTAGCTAATGTGACCTGTACTTAGCACCATGACCCAAACACTACTACTTTCCTGACTCTATACTGGACCATAAAACAATGAGAACACCAATATAGCTTATTATAAGGTATATGCTCAAGCATGTATTGTATTGCTGAGGTTGTATCATCTTCCAATCATTCTAGTTCCTCAGTCCTAAGCTCTACTCCCTATTCTTGACATTTTTTCTAGCCTCCATTGCCCACCCATGGCAATAATTCACTCCAAACTTAGGGCTGAGTATATCAGTCATCCCTCCAGACTTCAGAGGAAGCCACTTGATTTGGTTAGCTCAAGTGTCTTTGCAGGCCTGTCCCAAAATGACATGGACTGGGTACCAAATCTTATCGTATCATCTCTCAATCCTCACATTATTCAGGAATAATCCTACACTTTCAACCTTTTTTACCCCAAAGCCACATTCCAGCCTTAACCATAAAGTACCAGGGAATACTCCTCTAAACATAAACTGAAAGCCTCCTGCATTGCTATCAGCACTCAGGATTGCCCTAAGGATCAAAGAAGGAGAGGGTGCCCTTTAGTCCTTGATATCCCTACCCCTAACCCTGACTTCAGTTTCTACCGACTCAATGCTCTTTACGTACAGGCCCATACCTCCAAGTGCCCAAGCTGTTCATCCCTGCCAGCCACAGTCCCCATGTCTGTGTTTCTAATAATGTCTTTGCTGGAGCACGGGCATGGGGCTGGAGCAGCCAATGGTGCTTGCTGGGTATAGAGTCTGGAAGCTGTGCTTGTTTTGAAGCGTAGCATGGGAAGATTTTGTTTGGGCATGGCTTGAAGGATCAACTGTTTTGCTCTGGCTGCTGAGAGGATGGCAGGCTGGATGCAGCCTAAAGCGTGGGGCAACAGGGAGTATGACAGTGTCTGTACATCAGTGAGAAAGCAGGGAGGCACACAATCACAGTGAAGCAGTGGGTCAGGGGTAATTAGAAAGGCCTGAGAATGCCTGATGTGTTCCACTGACTCCTCTCCTTTACTGAAACAAGCCTCATTGCTCCTGCCTGCTTACTTCCACAGTTTCTTCATGACTGCCCCCACCCCTTGTCCTTCTGCCTCTGGATCTCTAGAACTACTTGCTCCTCTAGAGCTAGTTCTTCAGCCCTCCCCAGTCCTGTGGCACTGCTGCCTTACCTGCTTTTGGCAGTCAGAGCTCATCCAGGGGCCAAGCATATGAACCTTATTACAAGGTACTCTAACCATATTTCATGTTAGCCTGTCTTGCTGGTTGGGAGCCAAGGACAGAGAGTGCTATGGCTGCAGGTCTCTTCAGGTGACAGGGTGTTGCTGTGAATAGTCAGCTTGCTTCTGAAGTTTTGGGGGGGGATTGAGCTTTACACTTTCTTCCTTTAGTTATTTACATTCAAGGTTGGCATTATATTTTTGATTTATAAACTGCATTTAATAAGAGATTGTCACATAAAAGTTCTCCAGGTTTCTGGGAAGAATACTTATTATAAAGGGTTTTGTAATTCTTACAGTGTGTGGTCTTTGGCTTTTCTGAACTTCTGTTGTATTACTTTCAAGTATAGTTTAGCATAGTTGGAAAGCAAGCTTGGAAAGTGAAAAGCTGACAGAGAGCAGATCAGACTGAGAGGCAGATGGTTAATGTTTGAGTTTGGTTTTGTTTTCAACAGAGGAAGCTAGTATTTCCCACCTGCCTAAGGAGTGCCCACAGCAGACTGAATCACTTCAGACCTTGTTCTGAAATAAATCACAACAGCAAAAGGATGTTGTCTGTGGCAGTAGACAAAGTGCTTATTAAAAGGTGAGCTTTGCTGTGCATGCTTAAGGTCACAACTTCTTTGTTTTCCAGAAAACCCAAGTTTGTTGCAGTAATCAAGGCTGGTGAAGGGAAGGTCCACACAGAGTGCTGAAACCAGCCTGCTTCCTCATTCTTCGCACACTCATTGTTGGGCAACTTTCTCCAATGTCAAGTGAAAACTTCCTTCTCCAGTCCAGTAACACTGTACCCACCTTGCGCAGAACAAGGTGTCCTCCCCACGTAACACACGTTAGATTCCTTGCGGGAATGCGCAGCAGTGTGCTTTACTGAGGTGATTAAGGGTTTTGCTGTTTGCTGACACCTCCTGAAATACAGCATGTGTGTACTTTTATGGCCACTTTGGATAAAGTTACCACTGCAGCTGGTAACTGCAACGTGGAGATAAAACTCGCCACGTGACAACCTAAGGAACAGCAAGCTAAGGAGCAAGGAATTGCTCACTTTCAGACTCCAGTGTGGCTACATAAGCTGCTGCTTAGTTGCACAAACACAGAATGACAACTTTGTCTCTCAGTAGTTGCTGTATTACCTGTAATTGTTTCTGCAAGAGCTTGCAGGCCCTACCTAGCTGTGCTTCTGAATCAGGTTAACAAAGAGAAACTTTGTTTCATGAGAAAGCCTCTTGATACACATTATTTCCAGAAACCCTGAAATCACCATTTGTTACCTTACTGGTGTTTTTTACCCCTATTAAGCTTAACATCAGGTTTTTTTTAGAGGACTGATGTGTCTGTGGCTGTATTCTGAGCTGCTGAAATAGCAGGATGCGTTCGAAAACTGAAGAGGACCAAAACCTCCACTTACAACATCCTGCAGGTCAGAATCGTGTGCACTTTCTAAACAGGTCAGGATTTGGTCTGAAAAGCTGGGATTTCTTGAAGAGATCCTTCACATTTGCTGTTTTCTCCATTTCATTCTCCATTCAGTCACCCAGCCTGCATGCTGGATTTATTTGTTTTACATTTCTTTGCTGTCCAATTTGCTGCCAAATCACCGTCTCGTGTTGCTGTCTTATATAAATGTTAACATTAGCATTAGCTAGGTTCACAGTAACAGCCTTGAAAAGAAACATCTATTTCTGAGCTTCCCCCTGCCAAACAAACCTACAGCATATGTTTTTTTTTGGGTGGCTACTGGTAATTAAGGACACTGGATGTAAAATTATAATGCAGCATGAACTGTTAGTCTGTAACAGTTATGATCATTGTAACACCCCCTTTGACATGTTTATTGTTTCACTTTTAAGTTGGAACATTGAGCATGGAGGACATGACTCCCTGTTCCCTTAGACAACATGATCTCCATCTAGAGACCCTGCCTGCCAGCAGGAAGGCAGGTAAAAATCCCCGTTTAAACTCTACTTTTTTAACCTTGATGACACATAACAAATGCATCAGTGTTACTTTTGTGTCCTGAAAGATGGCATGGAATGGAACAGGGATGCAAATGTATGCAGAGAACTGGCCAACAAATAAACCAGCCGCAAACCCCAAATGAAACCCCGGCCTGTCTAGATGTTGTAAAACCCAATGTACCTCGGCCACAAGGTCTGTTCCTACAGGGAAAAAGCAGCACCATATGCCCGTTGTACTGTTCAATGTATGGAGTTCAGTTCGCACACTGATGCGCTGAGGAAAAACATTCCTCACGCAACGCACTGAATGAATGTCATGTGGTTGATTTCTGTGTGATCGTTGTTTGGGTCTTCAGCTACTTTTACTGGAATCACGAGCTCAGTTAAGACCGAAAGCGGACACCTTCTCGAGCAGGCTCGCCTCAAGTTGGAGCAGCCAGCGCCGGGGTTCGACGGCACCTGCTCCGGTTTGCCTGCGGTGCCAACAGCGGACGGATCCCTGGCAGACACCGGTGTGGGTCTCCCGCCCGCCGGCCCCTCGCCAGGGCTGGTGCCGCCTGCAGCAGGTCCTTGCTCAGGAGGGGCCTCATGGTGAAGAGACCGGGTCGGGCACCTGTCCCATAGGCGGCCCTGACACAGCGCTGGGCGGGGGCAGCGGGAACCGGCCATGAGGGACAGCCGTGGCCTGACGACGGGCGCCCGGCGGCACAGACTCCCTCACCCTCCTTCGAGCACCTCCGTCGCCGCTCGGGCCGCTTCCGCCACCGTGATTACATAAGGAGCGGGTGGCGAGCGCGCGCGCGCGCCGCGGCCCGCCCCCTCCTCGCCCGTGTCCTCGCGGCACCCTGCCCCTCCCCCTGCCCCGCGTGACCACCACCCGAGAAAGGAGGGAGGGAGGGGCAGGGTCAGCGCGTGCCTCCCCGCGCCCCGCCCCCTCCTGAGGGGGGCGGCACGTGCGCCCCCACCTCCCCGCACCCCAATGGAAGCCCGAGTCCCCCCCTCCCGCCCCTAGAATATCCCCCCCCGCAGCACCCCCCGCGCACGCTCACTGACACCGGTGGGGCGCGTGGCGCAGGCGCGGCGGGGACGAGCACCGTGCGGAGGGAGGGAAGGAGGGAGGGGGTGGGGCGGTCTCGTTCCTCCCTCCCCCCCTCTCCTCCCAATCCCTTTCCTCCTCCTCCTCCTCCCGCCTCCGCGGGGGCCGGGTGACGCACGTGCGCGCGCCCCCGCGCGCTGTTGTCCGCTCGCGCCCGCCGGTGCGTGCGTGCGTGCGTGCGTGCCTTGCCGGCGGCGGCGGCGGGGCGCGCGCGGCGTGTGGGGCTGGCACGCGCGCTGTTGTTATTGGTGCCGCCGGCCGCGGCGCAGGGAGGAGGAGGGGGAGCGGGCGGGCGCCTCAGTCAGTGAGTTCTTTAAAGATGGCCGGAGCGGCGGCGGCCGCCGCGACCCCCGTGTACTGCGTGTGCAGGGAGCCCTACGACGTGAGCCGCTTCATGATCGAGTGCGACATCTGCAAGGACTGGTTCCACGGCAGGTAGGCGCCGGGAGCCGGGTGGCGCGGGGTGGGGGGGGACGAGCGAGCCGCTGAGTCGGCCACCGGGCACAGGCGGTGGCAGTGTCCCGTTCCCCCGCCGGTAACGGTCGGGGGGACAATGGCAGCGCGGCGGCAGCACGGAGGGACCGGGTTGCTGTCCGCTCCGGCTCCCCCCCGCGGCGGTGGCAGCGGCCGGTGCCGGCGAGGACTGTCGTCCCTTGGCACACGCGTCCTCGCTTGCGAGGGGGCGGCCGGGACGAGCGAGGCGGTCGAGGGGGAGGCGGTTATGAAAGAGCAACAGATGCGGGGCCCGGCGCCACCCTGAAGTTGAGCCGGCTTTGGGGAGGCGCCGTGTTCCCCCCTCGCCCCGCTCCCACAGGGTGTCTCTCGGGACAGGGCGGTCTCTTGACTGAGAAGCGTGGAGGGGGCACCGCGAGGGGTGCCGGGGCTGTCCCCCAGCTGGGCTGGATCTCCCGGTTTACCGGGCGTTTCGTCTGGGGCGGGAGATGAAAGGGGGTCTCCACGCACTTCTCGCCGCTTTGACGTTTCCAGCCCTGTCCCGAGCGGCCGCCGCCGACTCGCGTGTGTTTTGCGAGACGAGCGTGTGAATAATACAGGCCCGGCGGCAGCCTCCCGGCTTGCGAGCAGGGGGAACCGGCAGGGATTCACGGGCAGTTAAACAAAGGAGCAAGTTGGGGGCCCCGCGACTCGGCCGGGCCGGGGCTGCGGGGCTCCGAGCTGCCGCCCCCATTATGTGAGACAGCCCCGGCGTGCTGGCCGGAGAGCTGGCGGCCGTGTAGGAAGTGCCTCGTGATTGACAGCAGGACATTTAAATACCCCCCGTGTAACAAAAACAGGCTCCCGGCGAGACAGCCGACTCGCCCTCTGCCGGCGCGGGGCGGCACGACCCGGCCGACTCTAGCCGGGCCGAGCGGAGCCTGCTGCTGCCCGAGTGCCCTGTCCGGCGGCCCCCCCCGTGCCCCAACGTTGCCCGTAAAGTCGGGACCGCACCGGGGGTTTGCGGCCGCGGAACAAAGCGGTGAGCCGGAGAGGGCTCCCCGTTGGGAAAAGGTGCCGGTCCGACCGCGTTTGCCTTTCATCTCTTGCCCTCAGCGCTTGCAGCAGAGAAACGATGGCTGGGGGGTGTGTGTGTAGTGTTTGTTGTTTTTCCTTTCTTCCCTCTTACTGGCAAAGGAAAAACGCTGTCTAAAAGTAAGTTGAGAATCTAGGTGTTACTTAACAGTGATTATTACACATGAGTGTTTTCTTGCCACGTTTTCGGATGAAAGGAAGGCTTTCAGTGTTTCAGATGTTGACTTGTACATGGGTTGAGATGATTTGTTCTGTGTACGTGGGTTTCCCTTGACTCAAACCGCAATATAATAGAACCTATGAAAAGGGCTTTGTAAACTCTAAAAACTGCTAAAGCACAATAGTTGTCCCTTTAAAAAACAATCCTTCATAAATATTTTTAACTAGACTATTATTCCCCTTGCTAGTACCCTTGTTTGTAACTAGACACACAACTGCTGCTTTGGATTATAGTAGCTTAATACAAGTTTGTCAAAACTTGGTCACTGCCTGTAATAAAGGTGCAGATGTTGTCTGAAAGTCTTTGTACAGTTACAGGTTCTCTCTCTTGCAAGTAGTTTTTTGCATCTGTGTGTTGCTCTTCCAGTCTGCCTAGGCAATTGAAGGCTTACATTCAGGCTTATCTTAAATGCCAGTCTTATGTCCTAATATTATCAGGGTACAAATGAACTAATTTCTGCAATTGTGACGAGGAGGAAGGTGTTGACTGACTGATACAAAGGTGATGAGGACCTCTGTAGCTTTCGTGAATCTGGATCCCCATTGAGGTCCACAGTGGCTCCTGTGCCCTGTTGTGCAGTTGCTAGAAAAACTGTACTAACACTGACCTGCTTTGATAGTCTGAAGCCCTAAGTGTGGGAAGTAAGAAAGCCCGCCAGCAGAAGCTGGCAACAGCCACATTGCTTTGGGATTTAGTTGCACCCTCACCCAGTTTCGTGACCAAGGGACAAGCTTGTGTGAGACCTGTTGTCCTCTCCCAGCTGTGGTCTGCTCTGGGAGTGCCTTTCCCCTTGCTCTGTGAGTATCTGAAGACAGTTACATAGCTTGTGAATGAAAACATTTGCTCTCAAATCTTGAGGGTTTTTTTTTTTGTGAACTTCGTGTTTTCATGCTCTCGATTATTATTTTTTTAAAATTTAATTTTATTTTTTTCCAGCCTGTAGAATGGGACTGGTGTGACTTCATATTAAGAAACGTGTAAACCCATGCTTACTTTTCAGACTGTGGTACACTAGCATGATACCTAGCACGTATTATTGGATTACAGACTCTTGGCTGCCTTCCTGTGTGTAGTCCGGAGAGTGCTTTAGCAGTGTGCTGGAGGCAGCACGAAGTCTGGTCTGTCACATTGGTACTAGTCCCTTTAAATTTTATGTGGTGTGTCCCCCCCCCCCCCCCCGTATGTTCTTGCACTCTGTGTCTTTAAATGACTGTGTTTTGGTTTACTGTTATCAGTACTTTAATATTACCAAATATGTATTTTATTGCTTCTGCAAATATTTGTGTAAAAACAAATATTTCAATGTGCCTTACAAGGTTGTAAGCTTACATTCTGGGTTTTAGTTAGTCTACAAGTGGGTCTAACATCCAGCTACAATCTTGTGTAATTAGCTCTTGCTGAACAAAAGAGAATAATGTCTGTGTGGTGTTGTAGGCTTCATCACTTTCTTGACTTGCTTGCAGGAGTGGAGAGACTGGAGAGACTGCAGAGACTTAGGTCTGACAAACTGTCAGATCTTTCAGATGGGCAAATCCATTTATATTTTAGGCAGTGTTTGTGTTTTCCTGGTCTTTTTATCTTCTTTAAATGAGAATGTCACATTAAGCTGCTTCCCCCTTTGTGGCTTGTCTAGGATATACCCCAGCTAGAACACTCCTTCATGCTGCTCTAAGTGTTCAACTTTTTCTTGAATCTGTTCAGTAACTCCTGACACCCATTTAAATTCTTGGCTTTATCTTCAAATGACATGTATCGCAGCATGATAATTCTCATTCTGTCTCTGTCTCCCTTTTGTTTTTTGATGCTCTAACTCAGTTTCTAGGTTAACTACATACTGTCGTCTTTCCTCCCTAGTGTTTTTCACTGTGATATATGTAACCACAGAGTGTCTTTTTTTAAACTGATCTTGCAGTCAGCTCTGTTCTTGGAGTATGTTTGTGGAGTCAGCTTTGAAATTTTTGTCCTTTTTTTTTTATTCTGTCCATGATACCTGTACTGTACTAGGCTAATGGGCATTGCATAGATGTCACTTGTTCTTGTAGACTGGATTTCAAAACAGGTCTGAACAAACTTTTAAGCATATAATTCAGCTTTTGTCAGCACAACATAAAGTTGCCTGTAATGCTTCAGGAGTAAATGCTTGTAGAGTTAGCTTTTTAAGGCTGTTTGCTTTGTAAAGCTGCACTGGTGCTGTGCTGGCTGGAAAGGACCATGGAGCAGTCAGTCAGGCAAGCTAAGAATTAAAAATGAAGGTGCCTTTAAGAAGTTTTCTGTGTAGTACTTTTGCAAGGGATGTTTTTTTTGTCAGTGAACTTACAGTGAATTTCTAGCACGTCCCACAGACAAAGAGGTAAGAAGTTATCAAATGGGTGAATGTCAATTACAGTAATGGTCTTTGCCTTTTAAAATGCCCGTAACTTTTTAAATGTATTTTTTAACATTAAAAAAAAAGGTTTTTTTTAAACAAAGGACATGCTTTATTCATCAAAGCCACATAAGTTGGTAATAGAAGAGGAAACATCCTATTTTGTTCAAAATTAGTAATTTTTCCTGAAATTTCATGACGGTGTCAGCTTTGGTGTCTCCCCCTCAGGAAGAAGGAAGACAGTCCATCCAGCTTTGCTCAGTTTTCATCTTTGATGTGTTGTGTAAACAAAACTTGAAGCCATAAATCCCTTTTCTTTTATATGCTTTGATGTTTATAGAAATCAGCATTTCATTTGAGCAGGTTAGAGGGCAATAAAGGAAATAGAGCACGAATCTGTATGTAGTGGATGTATTTATGTACTTACGTTGCAAAGCAAAATCAAATTGATTGAATTTATACAGAATTATTTTTAAATCGATAGTTCTTGCTCTTAGGATTAATTCTGCATTCTGAGTAGGTTTCTTAAAAGAATTTGCTTTTTTTCTCCCCCCCTTTCCTAGGGCAGTTCATTGATGGTATGTAGAACTTTGCCATAAAGTGTTTGATGCTTTGTACAGCTTTGTCATTATTAAAAACCATTTAGTAACATCATTTGAAAAGAAAGGCGTTTTGTGTACCTTTTGAAGATGATTATTTAAATTGCAGATGCCTCAAGGCTTTTTTTTTTTTTTTTTCCCAAATGAAAAAAAAACCCAAACCCCAAACAGCGCCAGAATCACATCTGAGCTAAGTTCATGTAGAACATATTTTTTCCTGATATTGTATAGATCTGAGCATGTCTTCATTTGGTCTCTGAAGAAACATGAAGTTTCTCAACCGCTCCTTAATCTCATCACAGTTTCATAATCAAGGTTCCCTCTTGTACCTCAGTTAGGTTACACAGCACAGGTCCTCTTAACGCACTGGTTTGTACTCTGAAGTCAGGCTTTCTCCTTGAGAAATTAAGAAAATGCACATGCTATAGTGACTGCTTTGCCTGAATTGGTTCTTTGTTTTATGGTTTTATACATGAGGCTCTGCACGATGGGTTCGCCTGCTATTTGCTGCTGAGAACTGTCCCTTTCCTGGCTGCATGCTGCTATAATTTCTCTTTTGCTGTTCCAGTGCTTCTGTTCAGTAAATCAGCTTTGCTCAGGAAATGAACAGAACCCATTCTTTGCTGGGTTAGGGTTTTGTTAGGTTACTGAGCTAACAGGCTCAGCAAGGGCTAGAGTGAGTCCCAGACTGTTGTAAAACACTGGTGAGGACTGTGTAGCTGGA